TACCTCAAAGCACCAGAATAGCATACCTCTATAACCTTATATCGAAAATCGCATATATTTATGCGGGTTATGTACTCCTCGGGTGAAAATTGACACGCATTCTTCCAGAAAGCGAAGTGTATTTCAAAAGGTATTTAATTCGACGGGATTCAATTGTTACAGTAACGATGGCGTTGGAATTGCCTATCGATTTCACCTATTTTTAGAGAATTTCATTTTGAATTGCCTGAGATGTGACAAAATAGGCGTTGGTTGCTGTCGAGTACTGTCAAATCGAGTTATTCCCATTCTGGTATCTTCTAATCCCGTCTCACTCATGAGCGTAGCGAATTCGCACAGAAAACCCTTTGGTCTCTCTCTATAGTTGTTTTTTGCAGTTGCCGTTGTCGTCAAAGTTGAGGCTGCAATTGTCGAACTCGTGGGTGATTCGTATCCGATGACCATACCGACAGCTCCAAAGTTCTGCGCCGCGTCAAACTTGGCGTTGAAGATGGGGGCCTGCAAGACGGTCGCGGGGAACACGATCTTGTTCTCGCGGGGCGTATAACGTTCGTACGCGTTGACGGTGTGGGGGATCGTGCCCCACATCGTCTTGTCCACGGGTTGGTAGTTGGCTTTGGCGAGAAAGTAGTCGTAAAACGTGGTCATGGACTCCTTGTGGACATTCTCGACGTACTTGGTCTCGTCTCAGGTTGACAAACGTCTTGGGGTGTTTGGGGCCCCCCACAAGTGCACCAATGGGACAGCTTCATGAGGCCGTTGGCGCGGGTCTAGTTGTCCAGCCAGTTGGCCGTGGACAATACCGTCTTGAATGACTCCTCCACGACGGTGACGAACCAATCGGCTTGCTTGACGTTTTCATCCGACCACACTTGCTCTCGAGGTAGTATTTGCTCAGGAGTACCCCGATGGACGCGTGCGACACACTCGTTCGCGCGACGGCTGCGTGATCACCCCCTTGATCTTCTTCTCAAACAGCTTCCGGTTGGCCATGACGAAGTCCGCCGACAGCTGCGGCGAGTTAACATGCAACAGCATGAATTCGACCAATGTCTTAAGCGTGGCCATAGGGTTGGCCTTGAGCAACACCTGGGCGCGGTCGAAGAATTCGAGGTCGTAAAGCACCACCTTGTCCGCGGAGCACCCTTTGCACACATTGAACCCATGCGCTTGGAGCTGCAGACCCACAGTCAGCGGGTACTTTTTGGCCGCGTCGGCGTACGTTAGCGGGTTGTACTTGGTCACTTCGGCCTCCATGAGCTCGACTTTGGTCAGCAACACGTTGGCAAACTTCTTCTGGAACGTGATGATTACGTCCTCGACCGCCTTGGCGTCTGTCGCCGACTGACCCGCAAGGGTCAGCAGGGACGATATATACTCGCGGTACGACGCTTCGATGGTGGCCCACTTGGCTGCGTCCTCGAAAAACGACTGGTCCAATGGGAGGTCTGCTTGGAACGCGTACAGGGCGTTGGTCGTGACGTCGCCCTGGTTGGCCATCACGTACGGCTGGACGATCACGTCCACGCCTTTGCTGCTCAACTTGGCGGCGATGCCGAGGATGGCTTCGATCGAGTGGCGGTGCAGATGGCCGTAAAGTCTTGAGTGGGGGGGCGGCCCCCTGGGCGTGGTGGTGGCCACGTCCATGCACGCGTTGTAGAACTCGGCCACCTTAGGCTTTTTGGTCGCGATCAGCGCCTTGACGATGTCCGTGTTCTTGGCCCCGATCACACTGAACGACATATCGACGGAGCCAACACTGGGGGGGTTACGGCTTGCTTGAGTCACCTACCGCACGCGTACTGGTAGAAATCTTGGCACAGATCGGCGGTGGGATCGATGAGGTCGGCCATTTCCCGGGGGAAGGTCGTGGCGAAGTCGGCTGCCGTGGTGGCAGTCAGGGTAGCACCGACAGAAGCAAGGATATTGACCATTTGATGGCAAAATTGAAAATGGCTTCTTGGTTTGACAACATATGAGATGGTGAGGCGGTGCGAATTGTCATGTGGACTGATGGGCGCTGATACCACGCCAGCATTTTTCGGCTAGGCTCATTATCGTCGCTCGTTCAACGCGTGCGACCTTACTGGACTTCGGAGGTGACGGATGGTGGTTTCGACATGACAACGCAATGTAGTAACTCTGGGAATATGAGGGTGTCGACCATATCGATTGTGGGGACTTAAATGACCCGAATCAAGCCTTGCATCAATGGGCTATGGGCTGTATTATTGGTCAACTACAGCAGATCCACACCATTTTGTGGCTAATTTCATCCACGTGTTGGCACTGTGAATCCATAGGTGCTGCGATCGTACTTTCGTTATTCCAGGTGATATTCGACTGTCGCAGGGAACTTGTGCAATTGTATTGCATTGGAAGTTTGTGCATTAGAGTTGTGTTGACGGGTACACAGTAAAATCATCGCTCGGTTAACGTGGTCGTTCGAATGCTTGCTTCAAATGCAAACATAGCCGAGCACCGATAAAAGTGACCCCTTTAGCAAGCGGCCGCAACCACTGCATATGTACCGGTATAACGTTACTATGTCTGTCATATGTAATGTTGGCGATGTACTTACTTGCGCTCGTCGGCACATCTTTTGGACGACAGTGCCCTGTGTACTTGTAATTCATACTACTTTATCGTTTCCCCTCTATTGCCCCGCCCACGACAAGTACCATTTCAAATCAGTTTCGCTATACTACATATATTTGGAGCAATGTGTACGTTTATTGCGTCTTTGCACGTTTAGACGACGGCCGTTCCTAGTGCGACGATACCTCTGTGCGCCCAGCCCCACTAAATCCTCATCTTCGTACCAATGGTAGTCATCTTCGTACCAATGGCAGTGATGTTGGACCGGATTCTGCACAGTAGAGGCAAATCAGATTGCTTAGTGTGACTGAAACGTCATACGGTTGTCACAGCTAGGGGAACAAACCATTGAACTCGCCCCTCCCCCAAAGCTGCTACATAGCCAAAAGAAACCTAAAAAATACTACCGTTAGTACTGGTATTGGCTTTATTAACGTACCCCGCATGAAGACGGATGCCCTTGATCGCGAAGACCTTAATGCGCGAGTAGGAACGTCGTGTGTCACGCGAACTGATGAAGAGGTCGTTCTTGGGGAGGTACGGAGAGCCCCGATTCGTGGATGTTGACACGGTCGTTCTTGCTTGGTCAAATATAACGACTCATGGTCGCAAGATGAAGGTGGATTTTGAGACTGCCACGTCTTGAAGGTACGCCACGTTCACTTATAAGTACGGCGCCCCTCGCACCGGTCTTGGACTTGGTGTTAGGGCTTGGGTTCCGCGCGAACGTGTGCAGGACATGGGGAAGTGCGTGGACTGGGACACGTCTGGCAGCCACAGCGGGTTCCACGGGTGCTAGTTGGTAAGTGCTCTGGTTCCAAGTCAGCGTGTGCTGGGCAGTAATCGGATGTTGTCGGCCTCTCCAAAGTAGCCATCCAATATCCAGCTCCTTGCTTCCATCGGCGCAAAACAGGAGCTACGGATTCAAATCCAAAGACGTCAACTGTCCTTTCATACTTAGTAAAGACATACAAGCATGTGGGGTGATACTGCTGGAAATGACAGTGATTTTGGCGTCCCACTCGACATGCCTTATCGTTATTCGGCTCACTACCTACTATTTCGACGCCCCCATCGTCGATTCGGGTGGTCTGTGACACTGCGTCGACAAATGGGGCATGTGGCAGCGGCCGCGTTGTCAATCCAAGTCGAGATGCACTCGGCGTGGAACGAGTGGCCACACGCCAAAGTGGTGGCGTCGGGGGTGCCCACAAAGACGGCGGTTAGGCAAATGGAGCAGTCGTCACGAAGGACGGTTGAGTTCAGCAATGCCACAGATACACCGGGGGGGACGTCGAGGAAGTGGAGCAGCAGCGCCTCAACACTGTCCAACGCGTCGTGAGTCGACGCTTCACGGCGAAAGCGTCCACATAGCCACAGCACGCACAACAAGCGAGCGAAGAGGCGCCCAAAACCAACAGTCCTCTCGTGGACGACCGACTTGGAAATGAGCCAATGTTTCCGGGGCCAAGGCACGGTCAGCACCATGCGCAGCATCCACGCGATCTCAGGGTGCAACCGATGGCGGCTGTGCGCCTGTTCCAACTCTTGATGGAGCGCGTGGAAGTGCGAGAAGCGACGGCGTACGACCCACGACGCAGATGTGACGGGACATGTCAGCGCCATCGAGTACATTGTGATCGGGCGGGTGAGGGACCGATTGGTTGTGGACAGATCCGCCGGTCGGACCGCCGACGACGTAGACGAACACGCCAGTGGTCGACCGATTTCGTTCGATGGAGGTTGTTGTGTCGTGTGGCGGACGACCCAGTTATCCAGAGCGTCGTGTATTCGAAGCAAGGCCGAGTCCAACAGGTCCTGACCCGTCTTGGCGTCACTGCACGCGCGCCACAAGCATGTCAGGTCGAGGGTGAGAGCCGCAAGTGCGTCTTCGCGACTTCGAACGGTGGTTCGTAGTATCTTGCTCAATGCTCTCCATGTGGATGGTTCGTCACGACCGACGAATATCCTCAAGGAAGCAACAACTGGCTGAAGCATCCATTCCACATACCGCAGCGACGAAACTTTCTTGCTGTCGGAGTGGATTCTAGAGAGGGTCCGTCCCAGCAGCCACACAGCAGCTGCGCTACGAGGATCACTGGAATCGTCTGTAGCCATCGCGTCCTGGCTAAATTCCGCCACGTTCGCTCGAAATTTGCCGAATGGCACTTTACGTTCTTGCGGCGAAACAAGTTAATTTCTTGACGAATCTCGGCTGCCTTTCTTAATCTTAACCGAGGAGTTATCCGGATACCGCCGCTTGGAGATATTTTTTAGCCAATCAGGCACCTGTATTCCTGAAGCCAAACATTTCAATTTGAGCGATTTATGCAGCCATGGATTGGCTACTCGTGCTGCGTGATTTTGCGATTGACATATAAAAGCGCAGTTGGGATGGTCAACAAGCGCCCGAGGACCGACGGCGACACCGCCGCGCCTGTGCTACCTCAACAAGGCGCATCATGCGCTGAGGCGCCAAAGGAGAAGTCGACCACCAGGTTGCAGCACCCGCTAGGTGTCAAGCCATGGGGCAACAGCTTCAATGACATGGACAAGGGCATCAAACCTTGCCGCCCCAATGGTCTCGGCCGCCTACACAACTTGCCCGACACGATCTTGCATGCTATCTTCAGCTGTCTTGACCCAATATCCCTCGGGTTGACCTCGACGACCAGCCGCGCGTGGTACGTGTTTTGCTACCACGACGAGTTCTGGCGCACGTTGGTGTTGGTCGAATTTGGAGGCGACTTTGTCGCAAGGCCAACGTGGCGTGAGTCGTACATCGCAACGTCCGCGTCTGCCATCTTGACACGACCGACATCTCGCGTGTCTGTGCAAGGGTTCTACTCGGACTTGCTCTTCCAGCCGTTCTATTGCGCGCAAACCCCGCTCACGCTTCTCTCTGCCGCGTCGATGCTCAAGTCGAACACGATTCCGCGCGTAGACGGCGCCACGCTCTCCGTTGCCGACTTCAAAGCCACCTACGAACAGCCCAACCTGCCTGTGATTCTGACCAACGTTGTCACAACGTGGCCCGCTCTGTCGCAGTGGACGGACGAGTACTTGGCCGACACGTGTCAGGCCACTCCATTCTACGCGGGCGGGTTCGCCATGTCCATCGCCAAGTACACGGAATACTCCCGCACCCTTCGAGACGACCAGCCCCTGTTCATCTTCGACAAACACTTTGCAGAAACCGTGCCTCAGCTGGCCGCGGACTACACAGTGCCGCCGTTTTTCCACGTAGGTCTTGTCGATGATGCACATTCCATGCTGACCAACCCCGTTGTGTTAACTTGCCCTAACTAGGACGACTTATTTCCGCTTTTGGGCGCCAGCGAGCGACCAGACTACCGGTGGCTCATCTTTGGACCAGAAGGCTCGGGCTCGTCCTTCCACATCGACCCAAACTCGACGTGCGCGTGGAACGCGGTGCTTCGCGGGAGAAAAAAGTGGATTATGTTTCCGCCCGACGTGGTGCCGCCCGGCGTGCACCCGAGCGAGGACGGTGGCGAAGTGTCGACGCCGGTGTCAGTCATGGAGTGGTTCATCACGTTTTACCCCCAGCTCAAGTCGTTGAAGGATCCTGCGACAGGGGGCCCGCGGCATTTGGAGGGCATGTGCGCGGCGGGGGAGATGATTTTCGTCCCCAGGGGGTGGTGGCACATTGTGCTCAACCTGGACGAGTCGTTGGCGATCACCCAGAACTACGTGTCGCCCAGCAACGTGCAGGTACTAGTTTAGACGCTGCTTTAGCATACCAGAGTTTGATGATGATTTTGCATTCGTAGCAAGTGCTGGAGTTCCTGCACGACAAGCCAGACCAAGTGTCTGGACTTGACGACGAAACCAAGCGCCCGCTCTTGTACGCCAAGTTCCGAGCCGCGCTCGAGCTCCATCACCCCGAGATTGTCGCGACGTTTGACGAGTCGCGCCGTCAAAAGCCCAAGAAATCAAAGTGGGCATCGCTCGTGATTGGAAGTACGACCGACGAAGATGGGGCATCGGTGGGACCGGCGGCGCCGTTTTCATTCGGGTTTGGAGTTTAACCCCCTCAAATTTTACTAAGGTCGACGACACATTCAGCAAACTTCTCAAAACCGACTTCAACCACGTCACACACAACCAGTTTTGAAGCATGAGAACGAACCCTCGTCGTCACATATCTCGTACAAACCTATACGTATAGTTCAGACACGTTGGTCCAGTACGGGTCAGGGAAGGGAGGCCCAAGAATATGACTGCTATGTTCTAGCATTTGACGTTACCCGCAAATCTACAGTAAGTTATGGTGCACTTCATCTAAAAACTTCCAACTGGCCAAATTGAAGAGTGGAGGTTTTATTATTTAACGTGCAATTAATGTAGTTAAACCCAAAATCCAGATACGTTAAATACCGATTCCATGCGTTTTATCACTGGAGTGGGAGGTTAAAGGTCCCAACTGCCTCCGGATATTAAATACGGATAAGAGTCACATACAAAAATCAAGATACATTTGAGCGGCCACCCCTATGGCCAAATATCCAAGCGCCCATGTAAAATACCGCTAGGTTAAATATCTATTTCTGGACCAATTCATCACCAAATTTAAATCTGAGACGTAGAATTTCTTCACCACATTGAGATCTGTCGATTATACGTCTCAATTTGCTGCAATTTTGAGTAATGAATATGAAATACTACCTCTGTTTTCGACTATTGCGAGCGGAAATTCAACCACATTGTAAAATCAAGTGTACAGAATCTAAATTTAATTAATTTCATCGTCTGAGCTGAGGTCTGAAATGACAGTCAGGTTGCTCAACAGAACTGCCACCTCTTCTAACCTTTCTTCTTCCTCAAGTCTCAAGTTCATCATGCCTAACACTAACTCGTCCTCTTGAGTCTCTTTGCTACGAGGAATTTTGTATCTATTGTCACCATCGCATGCAATAACAACATTCATGACACGTCGTAATGTCAAAAAGGTTTTGTCCAGTGTCATGGGCGAGAATAACTCAAACGAATCTTTCACAGCAACAATCAACTCCCCCATCGTCTGACACTCGAGGGATTGCT